TTACTTGGTATCGCCTTGCTTTCCTCTCCATTAGAAGGTTCTATACCTACACCGTTTATTCCCTCTTTTATTGTTCTGATGTTGTTGCCATTTACAGATTAACCTCTCTGCTTCCCTATTGAAATTCTTTTGGTTTCTGATAGTCCTTGAGAGTTCATTTCCTAGGTTTGTATCTTGCTGGTATGATCTTATGTCCTAGATTCAGCCTGTGGTCTGATGTTGTTTGTTCTCAGACCGAAGGACTCCCTTTAATAATTCTTGTAAGTTTGGTTTGATTTTTACATAGTCCCTTAATTTTTATTTATCTGGAAATGTCCTAATTTCACCATCATATTTGAATGAGAGTTTTGCAGGATATAGTATTCTTGGCTGGCAATACTTTTTCTCTCAAGGTTTTATATATGTTATACCATTGCCTTCTTGCCTGCATGGTTTCTTCCAGATAATCCGAGCTTAGTCTTATTGTTCCTCCTCTGTATGTGACTTTTTGTTTTTCTCGAGCTGCTCTCAGGAATCTTTGTCTTTGGTTTTAGCGAGTGTGATTATGATATGCCTTGGCGATTTTCTTTTGGGGTCTATCCTATATGGGGTTCGTTGAGCTTCTTGGATGGTCTGCTTTTCATCTTTCATGATATTGGAGAAGTTTTCTGTCAGCAGTTCTTCAATGATCCTCTCTGTGTTTTCTGTTTTCTCGCCATGTTCTGGAATTCCAATCACTCGAAAATTTTTGCCTTTGATGGTATCCCACATAATTCTCAGGTTTTCTCCATTCTTTTCTCTGATTTTTCCTCAAACATAGTTGTATCCAAGTGTTTGTGTTCAATTTCGTTGGTCTTGTCTTTCATTGTTTCAAACCTGCCCCTCAGCCCTTCTATGACACTTTCCATTTCTGAAATCTTGTTGTTTATCTTTTGGATTTCTAATTGTTGTTTTTGTATGATATCTAGTTGTGGATTTATTTTGGCACTTTGTTCCTTTATTATTTTCCTGAATTCTTCCATTTTTATGTCTGTATTTTCCATGAATTTGCCTTTTCCATGAATTTGTCTATTTTTTCCTCATTTTGGTCTGCTTTTTGCTTCAACTCTTGGATAGCTCTGAATATTAGAGATTTGAATTCCCTGTCCGGTAGTTCTAGTGCATTTTCTTCCACTGGAAAGTCATCTGGTGTTTTATTTTGGACGCCTACTGGAACCATCCTGTCCTGTTTTTTTGATATGTTTTGATATTGTCTGTTGTCTTCAGTACATTCAGTAGTTATTTTCCTT